AGCAGGAGAAAACTAGTTGTAATAAACAAACTTTTCACCTGTGGAATAAACCAAGTGCAGCCTTGGAATACTTCAGTAAGAATGTATTAGGACAAAATCAGTTTGTCAGTTTTTAACACCATTTCTTCATGACAACAAAGTTTGTATTTCTGTACTCCATTATAAATCAGAGTTACTTTTCATGGTTATATAGAAAGCTGTGAGTACTGCCATTTTAAACTATGTCTGCCTTGAAGCTAATACTTTGTCACTTGTGTGAGTACCATATTTACGTGACCACTTTAATGAGAAAAACAAGACTTTAAAAAAACCAAGGAAGTTTCACTTCAAAGAGCAAGGAGTTTATATCTTGACTTTCACTCAGTGCAAAAATAACGCTTGTTTAAATGGTTCACATGCTTTAACTAAGTATTGTGAATGAGATGTTGCCATAAAGAGACAACTGAAATTTAGTTAAAATAGACCTGATAAAGTTGTTGCATTTTTGCAGAACTACTGGGAGTCTTACTAGCAAGCAAATAACATTTTATGTAAAAACCAGAAAGGGTCGATATTTAAAAGAAGTTTCATTTGGAAGAAGTGTTTCATTTCATAAAAACAAAACACACAACTGTGTTTATATCTTAACACAGGATGACAGTGATGTAGAGTGGAAGTTCGCTCGTTCTAAACTCTGGTTATCGTATTTTGATGATGGAAAAACATTACCTCCACCGTTCAGTCTTGTACCAAGTCCCAAATCTTTTTTCTACTTCATCATGAGGATCATTAACTTTTCTAAGTGCAGGAGGAGACGGCTACAGAAGGACATTGAAATGGGAATCGGCAATTCCAAGTCTAGGGTAGGTACTGAAATCTTTTCATTGCCGTGAAGAATTGTGTGTCCATTCCAGCATCCTGCTTTTCTTTAAGTTTTAGGGTATAATCTGTGCTTCTGATGATAGTACAGTAATTAATCAAGCATTTATATTCATAGATCTGTATTTCAGACTGCCTAAATGTACTGCATAAATTTTCTTGGGACAGCAAGGTCCAATAACTGGAAAAATACAATTAAACCAAAAATAACTGTGTATTCAAAGATGCAAATAATTCCCACAAGGAATGACCTAAATATTGAATAAAGATGCGTTCAGCCTCCATGAGAAAGATTTTTAGTTCAGGGTGAAAAATAAAAAAGAGGGGGGAATAAAGAGAGAAACCTTTTCCTTTCACTGGGACAGTATGGTACTCACTTCTTGCTGTGAAAAGCTATGTTCTCAGCAGAAGGCAACAGGAAAGGGGGGATTGGTAATAATAACCTTTAGCACTTCCATGACATTCTAAAATTTGGTTATCTAAATGTTCTTGACCAATATTAATGGAATGCAGTGTCACAACACCCTTGTGAGAATTAGATAACGTGTCCCCTTGTTTGACTGATGGCAAACTGGAGCACAGACGGGTTAAAAGGGATACATGTGGCTTTTTTTGTAAGTTAGGATAAAGGCCCTGTGTATTACAAAGACTGAAAGCAATACCTTGGAAATAATTTTTTATTTGTTTTACTGTAAATTATCAGAAATGTCAAGTCCAGTCATCTTTTCTGAAAGATCTCTCTGGAGCCTAAGACTTCTGAACTGTTGGCGGTACTGAATCTTTAATAAAGAAAATATTTTCTCTAGTTTTCTGTAGGCAGTGAAAGTAGATAGGCGTTTATAAAAACGTTGATTCAAATCAGTTTAGCTAAATGCACTTTTTTGGTACTAACTGCTCATCTTTTGCTCTCTAGTGAACCCAGTGCCAGAACTTCATTAGTTCTCTCCAGTCACTCTACAGAAGATGTATTTAAAAAACAAAACAAAACACCCCGAGAGACACTTTTATAACAAAACGTTCAGTAGTGCTTACATATCGTACAGCAGTACTTACTGCCGTACTTGGAATGTAAGTCAGTAAAGATCTAAAATCCTCTCTGAGTCACTGTTGAGACAGGTCAGGTGGAGCTAGTTTTCTTGAACTACAAACCAAATTATTTTTCTCTGGGTAAGGCAGCCCACAGCCTCCTCTGTCAGGCTGGGCTGGCACACTATGTATTACACTGTAGACAGATAAATCCTGTCCCGCTCCCTAATAAAAGTGGTGGCTGAGCTGATGTCTCATTGCCCACAAGAAGGTGGGCAACCTGGAGGAGGTAAAAATGGTGCTTTAGAAAATCACTTGGAACTAAGCAGAAATGGTTTTGAGCATGTATTTGTAGTTAAAAGTATGCTTAATGGTGCAGATCCACAACAGCTCTTTGTTAAAGCCAGTTTAGAGAGTCTCTCCCTGCTCTGGCCACTCATCCCTGCCTTCAAGTCATAATTCATTATTTCCTCAGCTGTGTGAGCACATTTGCTTTGAAGCTGTGATGTGAACAGGATGGCTAAAATTATTAGCGGGGGGAAAAAAAAAATCCCACAAACAAAAATCCCCAAAAAACCCAAAACAAATCAACAAATAAGTCAAGGCAATCTTGTTGTTTTTGGAAATAATATTCTGATGCAGTGACTATGGAGACATCCCCAACATGTCTCCCAAGAAAAAAAAAAAATGGAGCTGAATTCTAACTGTGAATTCCATAATATATTTTAATTTTGTCTTATTTCTTCCTAGTTAAACCTTTTCACTCAGTCGAACTCCAGAGTTTTTGAATCACACAGTTTTAACAGCATTCTCAATCAGCCGACACGTTATCAGGTAAGTACATACGATGGTCATTGTTTTGACTAATGGAACTGTGTGAAGGTACTAGCAGAATTTTGTCTTTCAAGTACATTTTGCCTTCACTAGATAAAGAAAACCTCCTGTAAAAATCCAACTCCATGATGCTACTGGAAAAAAGACAGTTATTGTTCAAGCCCTATTATTTGAAGTGTTTAAAAACTAGCCCATGCAAAACTTAGATTCCGCCAAAAAAAGATGTCCCAGTTTGGAAAGTGTGAGAAGCGAACATCTGAAACTGATTTCTGGGGAAGGGATTGAAAGCATTGAGCTGACAAGCTTAGCGTTGCTTTCCCTTCCTTTCTTCTCGTGATCTGAGATGTAACATTCAACATTTCTGCAGATGGGAATGCTCCTTTCTGGTACCTTCCTGTCTTCTTTCCAGATCAGAAATAAAAGAGTAAATAGGAGCTCTTGTTCCCCTGGTGAAAATGTTGAAGCTATGCAATCCACCTGTGAAAATTCTGTTAGACAAGCTACATGAGATTAGGTATAGTGACACAGTACAAGAGTATTATGGTACACACAAGGAACCCTGGCAGGTACAGTGTAAAAATAAAGATATAATCTTAGTGAATCCTTTACAGCTGACATTGCACTGTCATACTGTAAAATCTCAACTTGTCTGTCTTTCCTTTTAAAAGGTAAATATTTATCTCTTATTATTACACATCCTTTCATATGTGAACCAAATTTAACGAAGAGTAGACCTATTCTGCAGCTACTTAAAGCTTAAATTAGGTGTATTTAGACATATTTTCCTGTTGTCCTGTTCCCTACAAAAAGTTGTGGTGCTCTGTAAATAAGAGGTAATTGGATGAGAAAGGTGCTTTATTGTAATGATGAATCTCAGCTTGCCACCTAAAAAGCCCACGAGGCAACTGCTTGATCTGGGGCTGTTCATTCTTCCACTTACACAGATGTGAAGTTAAAAGTGAATAGCATTTAATTATATATGCTCACCTGATTATATAACTGTTTTAATCTGGCAGCAAATAATGAAAAGACTGATAAAACGTTATGTTCTGAAAGCACAAGTGGACAAAGAAAATGATGAAGTAAATGAAGGTAAGAAAGAGACTGCATTTGCAATATTCAGAGACAATTTTTGTCATGTTGTATTAGGAATCGGTATTACAGTGATGCATGGAGGTTTTGGGTAAAAAGAGGGTTTATTTCTACTTCAAATGCACTGAACTCAGATTGTAGTGGAAGTATACCTGTGACAACAAAAATGGACAAGTAGGACCGAAGAAGTAGAACTGAGAAATAATACAGGCCCCATTTTAGAGGTGGAAAACGAGAGCACAGGCACGACTCATGGTTACAGATGAAGGTTGTGAGGAAGCCACTAACTGTATTCACACTTCCAGAGTCCTAGTCAGAGCTGCAGGACATCTTTCTCTCTGTTTCATTCAACTGAACACACAATTTACCACTTTACTACTATGAACTACTTGTATTACCTTGCTTCATAAAGCTGTGCAAAGTACTCAGCTGTGAAGTTGCACATCATTAAACAAAGCTGCCTGGAGTTAGCTGCAGAATGAGATCTGTGTTTGCTGTCTGTTGACGGTGCGGAACTTCCCCGGTAGCAGCGAGGGGTGCATGCTCCAGGCACGCACCCCGACTCCTCATTGGGATGAGACTAAGACGAATGCCTTCCTCTTTCCTCCAGCCTTCCAGGAGTGAAACACAGGCCTACAGGCCAAAAAGGAAACTCCTGAGCTCTGGGCAGGTCCCCAAACAAAATAATAGGGGTGTGTGCAACATGGGGCATATTTACTCTGCACTCTAGCTAAAAGATTGTTAGGCAATAGAATGATGCCCTCTCCAGGGCTGGCTCTGCTCTTGGATATGTAACACCACAGCAATGGTTTTGTTCCCTGGAGGTTACAACCATCGTGGTTCAGCCAGTAAAAAAAATCTGTGTGACCGCCACCAGAAAAACGTACCTGCTTAGCATAAGTAGTTCTGGTTTGGGCTAGTTTAGTCGGTCTTGGCACACCAGGAATGCTTACCCAAGCCACTCTGCTGGCAGCCTTGTGCTTTCCAGCTGGTGTGCAATGATGAACAGGTTGGGATCAGAACAGCTTCTACTGGCATGGACGCATCAGGCGGCTGCTTGCATCTATGATGTGAGGGGCCGGAGCGGACTGCTCTCTCAGCTAAGGTGGCACAGCTTTTATTTTGTTTGTTAGTTACTCCCTGCTTACCTGTAACTCTCTGCAGTGAGAAGCAGGGAGGAGAAAGGAAGATGTAAATTAAATCCCACTCTGTGCCTTCAAAAGGCAGCATTGTGCCTTGACTGTTCCCCTGACTCCTCCCCATCCTATGTGGCTGTACAGAGCTGAGCTCGTGAGTGACAAAAGCAGAGAAGCTTCTGAAAGTGTCTTCCTCTCAGTGTGCCCTTTGGCCCCCCTCCTGGATTCCCCTTGCTTTCCTCCTGTCCCTGCTCTCTGATGGGGGAAATCATCTTCCTCATGGTCGATGAAAAGACTCTTCTCTCACCAACAGCGCCAGGGACGTAGAAGTCTTTCCAGTTCCCTGATGCCTCTTTGGTATCGGCATATATGTGTCTAGATAAGGAAGGCAGTGGAGAAGAATCGTGGTTCATGGACATCACGGTTCTTGCTTTATCACCAGTGTTCATAGAGGAAAGTCTGCTTTGAGCAAGGCAGCTAACCTCAGTCTTCAACTGCATAGCAAAGGTAGTGTTCTTTGGGCCATGCCCATCTCACTGGCACCCGAAGCATAGATCCAGCCTTTGAAGATACAATTTTTGAAGTCTGCTATATTCTGAATGGAAAACTTCTGCATTCTTATGTACTGCGGCTATTTTGACATAAGTCTAGGGACTTTTCCCTCTCTTTTCCCTTTCTAGGGACTTTTTTGCATCACTAGAGAATTTAGGTTTTTTTCTGTAGTCTTTTATTTCATATGTGACAAATGGTTTCCTGCAGTGGATACTCTGTAAGAATTCACACACCTCACACTTGCTGGAAGAATAGTATTTGAATATTTTGAAAAGCTTCTGCTCTTGAACTGGCTACCCTATAATGGAAGACATGCCGTTGCTTGTTAGGAGCCTGGCCTTGACAGTTGTTCTCATTTAAATGCGTTTTCTGTACTTGTGTCAAATGGTAACTTAATTTTAAATTGGTTGACTTTTTCTAATTCAAAGGATGTTGGTAAGGAAGAGGAGAGAGACTCAGAAGCTGTGAGTTTTATTGCCAGCTCTGCCACACCTTTCCTGTGTGATCTCGGCACCTCGCTTCAGAAAAAAATCTCTTTGTCTTTTCTCTCTGAAAGGGGGATACTAATATTTACCAGCTGTTCAGCAGTGTTGCTGTGATTAATTCATTAACCTATGTGAAGCGCTTTTTGAGTCTTTGGTGTTCTGTATACACGTGGAGCACAACCTTAGGGTTCAATGGACTATTAAAATACCTGTGGTACTACTTAGGGGTGGAGGCACACTCACATCTCACTGAGAAGGAAGAAGGGGTGAAGCCTCCTGCCCCACCCCGTACCTGCTCTCAGGAACGTTTTGAGATCATAATCTGAAATACACACTGACGTGACTTAACAGAACAGGATTGAATGAATGTTAAACTTTGCTAACAAGTATTTCTTTCAATGATTAATACAGGTGAACTAAAGGAAATCAAACAGGATATCTCCAGTCTTCGCTACGAACTTTTGGAGGATAAGTCCCAAGCAACAGAAGAGTTAGCAATTTTAATACATAAACTCAGTGAGAAACTAAATCCTAATATGTTGAGATGTGAATGATTCAACAAAGGAACCATGGCTTTGACTACAGCACAACTATTTATTGGCAATAATATTTCAGTATCTTATACTTGAAAAATGTATTGTAGATTTTTAGCACTAAATAACTTTATGTACAGCTTCTCTGGAATTTAGTCATAGGAAATTTTATTAACTCACCACAAGAAGATTGCTCTCTTCATTTTAATTGTCTAAAAGCAAGAACTGTCATAAATTTTTTTGCATTTATGCATTAAAAAGGTATAATGGTATCAATTGCTGTTATTTTAACAGGTTTATGAATACGTATTGAGAATTCTTTGCACTAAACTTGCAAGAAAAAAATTAAAATAACAGATACAGTGTGGTACTCTGTTCCTTGCAGCAACTGAGTACAAATCAGATTTTTCATAATACAATAAATCGACTAGAGATCAGTGGAGGATTACTTGAAATCTTTGTTCTTTATTAGTGACGGTAGTAGTGTGTATAAGCTGAGAACTCCTGGTATGATTACAAGGAATTAATGAAAATCAGGTAAGTGTGAATGTAATTGTAGTAACACTGGTTAACATGTATGTATATACACGTACCCACAACTCCCCTTTCTTAATTCAGCATATTTACTTCCAAGCGTAAGGACTAGAACTTTTTTTTAAAAGACAACTTTGGAAGGTAACGTGAACTCAGTCCAAAGCTACTCTTTATGTGGTAGAAATGATTTTTTTAAAATTCAGACTCCGTGCAGGGCTGGTATTTTGTTACACTGTTCTAAATAATGCCTCCGATGCTTCATTGTTAAATAAAATATTCCTACTTTACTGATAACGCCACGTCGTCCCGGTAGTTTGGCACTAAAGCCTGGATTACCCAGCGGGACTGGG